TCGTGTATAGTGTTAGCTAGCTAGTTAGCCACGTGCTAACGCCACGTATAGTGTTAGCTAGATAGTTAGCTACGATGCTAACGCCGTGTATAGTGTTAGCTAGCTAGTTAGCCACGTGCTAACGCCGTATATAGTTTTAGCTAGGTAGTTAGCTACGCGCTAACGCCGTATATACGCTTTTCAGAATGTAAACGTCGACTGGAACACTGCCGCCATCTGCTCCCACCTCACTCGCCTCCCTCCCGAACGGCGAACCCCCTCCCCCCAGCGCCAACCCTAGCCGCACGATTAATTGCCCACAAAAGCAAACACTTAAGGCACTTAAGACAGACACTTTGTCTGCGGGCTAACATTTTCGCCCAGTCATCTTTAAAAATCGTAATGACTTACCTTAACGTTACCAAAATGCCGTGGGGTCTGATATTTTTCACAACGTCCTCTGCAATGGAAGATTGAGGTGGAAATAAGTTTCCGCCAGAACTTTTAAAAAAATGCGCATGCGCGAATCACTCAATCTAATAAAAATACTTTGATTAAAATAAAAAAAATCAGTTTGGTGCCTTGCTATCAGTTTACATTGTAGTAAAGTAAAATATTCAATTAAACCCTAACCCATAAATAAAAAAGTTTAGTTTAATAGAGCAAAGTAATTTTTTTTATTCATTGGAATGAAAAAAAACACATTAAATGAACAACAGCTTTGTTACGCTTTTTTCAGTGTATGCAGAACTATTTGCATTTAAATTATAAAGTAACGATAAAGTAAATATCGTCTTCATTATAATTGAATATTAGGGGGGCAGAAGAACATTTTGTAGAAACAGTAGTAGCAGCATCGAACAACCTCTGTGTTAATATATGGGCAAACACAGATGGCAATATTTATCCAGTAATATAATCTATTTTTTCTCCCAGTACCCGTTCAGCTTCTGTTAAACGTCAATGTAACTGATTACATTCATTTTTAAGTTGTGGTTTACAACAAGTATTTGTATTGCTACTGTGCAAAGGGAATAGTGCTGTTCTACTTGGATGAGGAGGAATCTAACTTGGATGTGGGGAAATTCAAAAGCTTCTAACCACAATCTTGTATTTTTGGTAGTCAGTCATGCAACTGCTCAAACTTCTAACTACCCTTTTGGCCAGATTCGCGGTTTGTATTCTTGTTGGTTCCCTTTTTCTTGGGTAACTATGTTTAAATTATATGGACCCAAGTAGGCGAGGTGAAAGGCTGAACACAATGATTTTGGAGCAAACGGGTCAATTAAATATATTTAACACACTATTGTCAAACGCAGTATTCAATTTGTATTGCGTAGCTCACTAAGTACGTAGTACGCTGTGTACAGTAAGTGTGGGTTGCGCCCATTAAAAATGTGCCTTGCAAATCTTCTACCAATTTCGCCTAACAATTTATTCAGCTGTTACTAGATAGATTGGATGATTGAATTAAAGCGGAAACAAGACACATTTTGCAATTTATTCAGTAACAATCATTGGAAGAACCATACACAGCCACAGCAGCCTGGCAACTCATCCTCATGCCAGTAACCAGCCCGGTCACACACTGCTGCGGGATGGCGTTCCATTCCTGAAGTCAGCCAACATGGTTGCGTTGGTCACTGTAGCATGAACAGCACACCCAAACCAATCCCACAAGTGTTTAATTGGGTTGAGGTCGGACCTGTTGGCAGGCCATTCCATTCCCTCTGCTTGCAAATTCCAGAGGTAGTCTCTGCTCTATGGGGGCGAGCGTTGTCATCTCGGAGGATAGAGATTGGTCCCAGATTGTGGAGAAATGGGATCGCCGCGGGTTGGAGAATCTCACCTTGATATCCCTTTGCATTGGGATTTCCTCCAATGAAGCCGTGTATTACTTATATATATACTGTATATAAATAATACACTGTGCATATGTGGTTCTTGATTTACAGACATTCAGATCTGATCATGAGATCATCTTCAATGCAGTGACTGAAAGTACAAAGAGGGCTAACAGGATCTAGTTGTCGATTCAATAAATATTACACCTGGCAGATGAAAGAAGGCACTCTTCTGAGGAATATGAACTTCACCACATTGAAAATGTTTTGGTTTTTGTTCGCTCTGCAAGGGGGGGAGAGGTGAGGCCTGCAGACCTAAGAAGCTGACAAAATCCTTTGTTTTCTTCTCTTTGCTCAGTGCTTAGTGTTCGAAGACGCCCCCAACGGCGTGAAGGCGGCGCTGGCCGCGGGGATGCAGGCAGTTATGATTCCCGACGACAACCTGGACCCCGGCCTCTCCCGGGGGGCCACGCTGAGACTCGGGAGCATGGATGAGTTTGAGCCGCAGCTCTTTGGCCTGCCGGCGTTCGACTGAGCCAGGGTCTGGATCCGATCAGAGGAAACATTGGTGGATCAGATGGATCACCGGTCAAACCCCAACATTTTCCATGGGGACATTGATGTTTTTTTGTTGTTGTTGCCAATCGGTTAAATAAAGATGTTTTCTGTCAGATGAGACGTCACAACAATGAGCAAACTCTTTCTGCTAAACTCTGGTGTGCAGGTCATTGGGCTTTTTTTCAGATATTTGCCTCCTGAACAGTCATCCTGATAGGGGATAGAAAAGCAATTCCATTCTGGTGTTCAATAATTCTAAAACTAGTTTGATTCTTATATATACTGTATATGTATATAGGTTTATGCCATGTGTATTTCAATCAAGATACATTCTTTGGCAGGACGTTCTAGAACACACACACTGTCAATCATAAATCTGTCCCTATTCCACATTGTGTTCCGGCGGTCTTACTGTAATACTAAAAACTGCTCCCGGAGCAGAGTCTCCCCTCAAGCTGCTACAATAGGATTTCAGTACACTCCCATTTCCACTTCCCCTTCACGGGCTTTTCATCTTCAAGGAGGGCGGGAAGTCTCTTCAACCCCCCCCTCACTCCCTCACTGAGTGGTTCCATTTGTCTCTATCGTGGCCTCAAACATAGTTTATTTGCGTCCTTGTGTTTGCCTTAAGTCTCATCACAGAGTGATTGCAGTGTGGAAATGGACGACTACTATGTTTTCATATAGATTTTAAAGACGCCTCAGATTCCAAAAAGATTCCGTCCACAGTGTAACAACACTTTTTCAGATGTAAAAATGTGTCACAAAAGAAGAAATCTATCAAATATGCCAAGTGTATTGTTTGCAATTTTTCATTCTTAATTCATTTTCATTTAGTATTTTTATTTCAATTTCAAGCAAGATATAGGTAACATACAGGCGTATTGCATATGAATTCCTTCACATTTTCAGAGAACCTACCCATGTATAGCATGCATTCTCAATCAGCATGCATGTGGCCACTATGGCTCAACATCAAAGACCCTGATTTTACAGAAAAAGGGTGAGATGAAAGAAAAAATGGATTTGTGGAAAAAAATGTATCTGCATCCAACGGTTGACGTCTTATGTACTCATTTTATTGTTATCTGAATACAGTTCTTCCGCTTTGTTTGATAGGTGCAACACACGCTAGACCAGCTACAACATTCTGTAGACTAGAGAAGGACAGACTTCTTCCTTGGGGTGGGGGAAAGGTTTCAACACTTTAAAACATTACCATTAAATTCTGGCCTCAAGATGGGCTCCTCTAGCATCAGTCAGTGGCACCTTGCTTTGAGCTAGGATGCTATTTGCTCCCCTTGAGTATCAGTCAGTGGCCCCTGGATTTTAGCTGGGACGCTATCGGCTCCCCTCTAGCATCAGTCAGTGACCCCTGACTTTAAGCTGGCACGCCATCACCCCCCCCCCCCCCCCCCGAAGTGACAACAACTCACTTTCCGCCCTTACATGCATATAGAGTTTTTTTTTAAATATATTTCTATTACATACAATCCGATGTAGGTTTACTTTGTTTGTAGGTTGACTACTCAAAAAGTTTTTTTTTTATTATTATTTAATTGTACAAATCAATAAAGCTAATCAAATGTAAAAAATGCATAAAGCCTCATTTGTTGCCTCCACCTAAATAATATTATTACACTACTTTAGAGAACAATATCTTAGATAACCACGATATGTTTGTTACAACCAGCATGAGCAGAGAACGGCTGTTACGTAACAAAACTACGGCTTAAAAAAGTCAACGTTGACTTGGTTTCAACAAGGTCTTCGTGGTTTAGGTGTGTTTGACCTCCAACCTCTACGCCCATGAGAGAACTGCTCTAAGCATTTAATGGTGACGCGGATTGGTTAACACTGAGTCAGTTGAAGGCCTGATGCGTGTCATCCAGACTGCGGTGCGGTCGGGGGGGTGGGGGGCTGGGGGGGCTGGGGGGGGGGGGGGGAGAACACAACCAGTTCCTAGTGACTTTTAAGAAGCATCACAGATGGTTTGCATAAATACTGCTACATTGCAACATCTGCTCTATGGATATGGATCAAATAAATGCATTACTGCCTTGCCGCAGTTCACTGTTAATGAGAAACATAACACAAAATGCCTCTTTACTGGTGCCATGGTCTAACAAGGCCATTTTTTTAGACCCTGTCAAAAAATGAGAGCTTTTGGTGCACAGGGTGTTGCCATCCAACATGTACTTTGATGTATTGAGAGCACGTGGAAGAGCACACACTCATTAACAGTCTGCGTTCTTAGACATCCAGCTTGTGAAGGGTAGCGTGTAGCTTGGCATATTCCCCCTCATTTGTCCGTGCGCCGACCCATTTACAAGATAATGGTGTCCAGCTGTGGGCTAAAATCTTTTTTCAGCCTGGCATGCTTAAAACTGCTATTTGCAGGCTTTTTACGGCCTGGTGACAGTACAGGGGGGCAATTCAAACGTCATTTAAAGCCTTTTTAACTTGACTTCTGTCTGTGACAGAAGAGGGCAGCAGAGAAAAGGGGCACAGATAGCTGCCATGTTTCCCAGGCTCCTACCCTGCACTGTGCTCACGACTGATAGGCCAGAGTGGCGGTGGGACACGTTCATCTTCAACGTGTTTTATCGGTACTCAGAGAAGCAGCTCTCCTCTGGAGGCAAAGTCGAAAAGCACTGGACGCCTCAGAAAGACATTGTATTGATGACCTCATTTCTGAACATTAAAGCTTTATTTTTTCATTCTGGTCTTAAGGGGCTGCAGAACAGTGCTTCTGACAAAATGTGGAGAGAGCAGGACGGGGAAACTCGTCAGATAATGAAGGCAGGCCTCTATCCGCGCATTTCTCTCAATCCAGACGAGCAGTCTCAGAAGATACTGATTAGACGTCATATCTCCGAGGAGGCGGTGAGGCGGCTTCTGTATTTTTCTTCGGGTGATTTGAAAAGAAACGTCATCACCTTAGTGAAGGAAGTAAATATGCAAGGGCTTCTGTATTATAGTTAGGAAATCCACTAAAGCAACAGTGGTGCAAGTGTCATAATCCCAAAGATTGCATCTAAATACTACCTAGTAATTGGATGCATGCCGTTTGGGTGTTTGCGGTCTTAAAAATCCTCCCTTTTCCTCAATATACTGAACCAAAACAAATAACTCTTCCATGTGCAAGGTGGGAGAACTTTAGATATGTTTCTCTATCCTTGACACAAAAATAAAGCGTATTTTAATTCTGCTTAAATCTTATCTCCCAAGCGCAAACCGCACTGCATTTTCAAGAAGAGCAGAGCCCAGAAGAATGATGTTCTGGTGGATGCCATTCTGTATTCCACTGCCAAAGTGTGCAACCTCAACTTGAACCAAAAGGGGATTTCATGGAGATGGAGTTGTTGCAGGGCCTCTGACCGCAAGAGGCATGAGCTGGGACGCAGACACTGAGCTTCCGCCACTTGCTATGCGACCATGCTTCCTCAGTGATGCAAATACACCTCATGTTTTATTCATCTTCAAGTGATGAGAGAATAGATTTGATTACAGGAGCGGGTGATGGAGAGGACGATGTTGGGGAGCAGATTTGTGAACGCAGAGAGGAGTTTAATGCACAATTAAGGCCAGACAATATCAGATTAACATGTTTGGCAATAATGCTTTGTGGAATTAAACCCTAACTTCTTTGTTGTCTTTTAGTATCTTGGGAGTTTGATTTCATGGAATAATGAGGATTGATGAAGGTTTTCTTGTTTCGGATTCACATTTTATTTGACTGGAAAAGAAAAATAACTGAATTGAAACAAATGAATGGGACCTGAAGCAGGGACGTATATTTATGCACCCTTGATCATACGCCACCGGGGTGTCTGCACGCAGTAGAAAGCCAATTATCTTCACCAATCTGGGCAGATTGTTTCTAGGAGGATATATTATGTAAATAAGTTATTTTTGTCTCATTCTATTTTCAATATAGCCTATATAGCTATATATATTTAAGGTTAGCTTTCATATAAAAAACACATTAATTATACTTCCGAGTGAGGTTTGGAAAGTTTATTTAGGCCGATAGAGGAAATTAAATTAGGTTTTGTTTCCCTGTGCTCCCTTGTTGTGGTATTAATCAGGTATTGGCTTTTAATCTCACACGATATTGTATCGCACGTTCAGTAATCAGTGTGTTTGCAGTCAACAAAAGAGTATCCTGCACGTCACCAAAGCTGCTTGTGCTTTGGATCTGTTTGTGCTTTTATTTGAAGTAGCTCAGCCCTACAGAGAGAGCAGAGCAAATACAAGATGCAGCGTGATAATAAATTAAGTCAAACTTCAAATTTAGCACTAGGTGCATCCCCACCTTCAGATAATGTGAATGAATCTCAGAGCCGGTGTCCGTTCTGACCTGCTGTAGAAACATCCTTGTGTAGATATAAATTGCCTTTTCTACGCTCGGGAAAACATAACAACCGTGAGTCTTTGAATATAATACACTGTGTAAAACATGCTTATGGAAATTGTATTCCATGGCTCATAATTAATCCACAGGAATTGAACAAACTGGTCCAGTACAATCCTGATTTGAGGAGAAATGTTGAACGGACTATGGCAATTCTATGGCAATGGAGAGAGACAGTTGTTGGGCAGTATTGACCATTCGTTGGGAGAAGAAAAAAACATGAATTGACTTTAATCTGAGATACATTTAAAAAAAAAAATGTAGGTGATTTATTTTCTTGGGTCCGAAACTGCCGCTGTGGTTTGGGGGGGTGGGCGTTTTAGTAAAAATTAGCTTTATGACACAGGAAACAGGAGAGAACTGGGAAGTTGGTTTAGACGCCCAACCGTCTATGGGAGAATATAGTGATTTTCAGGAATTTGTTACAACTGGGAAAGTGGTTATTGTGCTTTTTTAGACAAAAATAAGCTTTGCAAGTTACCAATTTATTCTGCAGAAAGGAAAAGAGACGCGTCATTTTACTTGCTATGCTCTAGTGATTCCCCATCGAACTTTGGTTAAATTGTCAATCTGTCCCATCGATCTTCCCATCGAGGTTTTCCAACCTTTACAGCATGTTTTGCGTCTACCCCCAGTCTATAAACGTCCTTGGAGAGCCTCCAAAGGAAAGCGCCCAAGAAGCAACCTAATCAAGTCTTAAAACCACCTCAACTGGCTCATTCCTTTCTCAATGATCCATTACACCTGGTTTTCCACTTGTATCACACAGCCAGGGTTCAACTGTCAATGGAATAGTCATTTTACAGGCCCGTCATTGCTGTTCTCTCAAAGATTCTTAGCTGTGGAGGTCTCAACGAGAGTAAATGCAAGAATCTAATGCATCTAATGCAGGACGGAAAATGTAAAATAAAACGGAGCCCATGAATACTTTACAGTGGCTCTCCTGTGAAGGAGAACAGTGACAAATGAGCTAAGGTGCATCAGCATCTCATTTCCACCGTCTGGACATTTTTTCAGAGCCTTCTCCCTGAATCTTTTTATCTCTTGCTGTTAATCTTCTCTTTAGAGCATATATTGTGGCATAAAGCTGACAGTGAAGCCACAAAAATGTGTGCGAACAAGTGTTCGTCCAAACGTCTCTTCCAACCCTGTACTTTGCATCATGAGATGTAGCGTCTACCACGCCGCAATAAAAGGAAATGGAATAGAGACTTGTACAGTTGAGAAAATACCGCACTGCAAAAAGTTGAAATCTAGAATAGGTTATTGCATTCCTTATTATCGGGCTGCTCCAATAGGTATCCAAAATATAAAATGGTTAATAGTGAGGTACCATCATAGTTTATATAGCTCAACTTGCTTACAGTTTCAGTCCAGAGTGAGACACATTCTTTGGTCTATAGTTAGGCCTGGCTCAGGTCTATAGTTAGGGCTGTTTTAGGTCATTACATCCAGTGCTATTGCTATCATTACTAATATTATTTTGTATATTATTCTTAATTCCTACTATTCCTACTCTGATAACAATTGGAAATGGACATAATTTACTGGTTTTTTTTTGGTAAGGTATTTTTCTTAGGCTATCATACAAACCATTTAATGAGGATGTATTGCAGTTTGAAAGAGAACGGCCATTGTAAAATCAGTCAGAAGCAGCGGTGGCTGGTGGAAAATTTTAGGAAGGGCTATAGAATCAATTTCAGCGAACATCCCAGAATGATTTATTGCAAAAGCGGAAAGGTATCAAAACATTATTAATATTATATTAATGTTATTTGTAGTTTAATATTCAGAATTTAATGCAAAAGAAAATAGTAAATAGTAATAGTAAATAAAAGTTTAACAACAAATAGGAATGGAATTTAAAGGACATACAAACATAAATATTGATGTTTTTTTAACTGGTCAGAAATGTTTAAGAATAAAACAGTGTTGATAGCCCACCACGCCATAAAACACCTTCATATTTATAGTAGGATTAATACCAAATCACATGGCACACTGGCAATTCTCTAACACGCAGGAAACACTCCGTTTACGAGCCCTTGT